TGCTCTTTGGCCCAGGTGTCTATGAGGTTATTTCGAAAATGAGTCCTGTTGTCTGACTCAATTCTTTCTGGGGTGCCATGTCGCCATAGGACTTGCTTTTCAAGGCCCAGGATAGTGTTCCGGGCAGTGGCATGGGGCACGGGATATGTTTCCAGCCATCCGGTGGTTGCCTCCACCGTTGTAAGCACGTGGCGCTTGCCTTGGCGGGTTTGTGGGAGGGTGATATAATCAATCTGCCAGGCCTCCCCATATTTATATTTCAGCCATCGTCCTCCATACCAAAGAGGCTTTAATCACTTTAACCGCTCGCTTGATTGCAGCACATGTTTCCCATTCATGGATAACCTGTGCAGTGATGTCCATGGTCAAGTCCACCCCTCGATCACGAGCCCATCTGTACATTGCATCTCTTCCTTGGTGACCTGAGGTGTCATGGGCCCACCAAGCTATAAATAATTCACCCTTATGTTGCCAGTCCAGATCCACCTGAGCCACTTCAATCTTAGCAGCCTGATCCACCTGCTGGTTGTTCTGATGTTCTTCAGTGGCCCAACTCATGGGTACATGAGCATCCATGTGACGGACTTTTACAACCACGTCCTCTACCTGAGCAGCAATATCTTGCCACAACAGGGCAGCCCAGCTGGGTTTGCCTCTCCGCTGCCAGTTGCTCTGCTTCCATTGCTGCAACCAGCCCCACAGGGCATTCGCCACCATCCATGAGTCAGTACAGAGATAGAGCACTGGACACTTTTCTCGGTCAGCAATGTCTAAAGCCAGCTGGATGGCCTTTACTTCTGCAAATTGGCTTGATTCACCTTCTCCTTCAGCAGTTTCTACAACTCGTATTTTCTCTCCAGCCAGTGGTTGCACAACTAACTTTGACCTTCCCAGTGCCAAATGCTGCCTCAGTGCTGCATGAAAACCTCTCCTGCATATAAAATACAGCTCTAGTCTGACTTATGTCAATACTGACCTACAACAACACAGGTACCTCAATAATAAACCCAATCCCGGTCATACTTCAGTTTCTGTGTTTTGTTATTTTGAGAAAGAAAAAACATATTACCTGCAAAAAGAGATCTGAATTGTGAAAACATCAGGTCCCACAGGTGATGCCCACCATCGCAGGAAAACAGCAACAGCAGACATCAGAAATTAGACCTCCAGCTCAACAGACCCTACCACAGTC